AGTAGTCACCCATGGATGGAAAGACCACTGCAGGCACCCAGAGCTGTGTCTTCCCCCTCCCCAGCCCCGCAGTGGCCTCTGGCTGCTCAAGTAGGATTTTTTCCTCTCTTTGGGAGGCTTTTAAGCGTCTGGCAGGATTGGAGAATAAGGAGAAAATCTCTTTAAAAGGGGAGTGTGAAGATTAATCTTCGTTGTCAACTTGCCTGGATTTAGAAACATACTTTGAGCATGTTTGTAAGGCTTTTAAATGAGGGGAAGACCCACCTTGAATACAGCCAGCAGCATTCCATGGCCTAGTGTCCTACACTGAATAAGGAGGACATGACTTGGGCACTAGCCCTATTTCTCTGCTTTCTGAGTGGATGTAGTATGCCCAGCAGCCTCAGGCTGGAAGCCGGAATAAACTGTTCTTTCCTAAGCTGCTTTTGACATATACATATTTTGCTACAGCATTGACAAGAGTAATTCAGGGAGCAGCTGAAATGAGAGTAAGTTCAAGGCATTTCATTCTGTAATTTTTCTTTTCTGAAGCAGGATCGTTTCATGTACCTAATGGTATACTTTTGTTTTTTTAAAGACAGGGTCCTACTATGTAGCATTGGCTGGTCTGAAACTCCCTATGTAGACCAGGCTGGCCTTGAACTCTCTAAGTCTGGGATTCAAAGTGTGTGCCACTAAGCCTGGTTTATGAGGTGCTAAGAATATAATCCAGAGCCTGTACATGCTAGAATAGCACTCTTACCAGCTGAGTGACATCCCCAGGCCTTCACTCCTCTGATGTGAAGTCATGCTACTTAAGGTCCAAGTCTGCTGTGTCTAGATAGCTCTGTGGAGTATATCTCTAACATACTTAGAAAGGCCTTGAAAGCTCCAAACACTTCAGTTTCTTGTTGTGGATGTTTTAAAACAAATCATAAGGCATGATTAGTTGGGGGATTGGAGAGATGGCTCAGTGGTTAAGGACTGGAGAGATGGCTCAGTGGTTAAGGGTACTGACTGATCTCTCAGAGGACTGGGTTCAGTCCCCAGTACCCACATAGCAGCTCACACCTGTCTGTAACTCTTGTTCCAGGAGATCTGACAGTCTCACACAGAGAGACACGCAGGCAAAACACTAATGCACATGATATATAAATAAATCTTTAAAAACCAATTAATGGACTTCGAGAATTTTTGCTTAGCCTAGAGCAAATTTACCAGTAAAGCAAAGAGAATAAACCAGTTTAGCTCCATATTCATAAAAGCAAAACCCTATCACTTCAGTTCTTTATGTAAGCCATTTTTGCTTTGGGAAGTAGATCTGCTTGCGGCTGCCTCGAGGCCTGTCTCTTGAGGAGTCTGTTTCCCTTTTCTCTTCTCTGTAACTTCTTAATTTCAGTAGCACACTACAGCTATAGTTGGAATATTCTAGAAGACTTTTTGTAAGTCAGAGGAACAAGCAAAAGGGGATATTGAGAACAGCATGTGATGAGATAATTATTTTCACCTCATACATAACTTTATTTTGTGTACATATGTGTGCACGTTTGTATACATGTTCAAGCGCATTGTGACTACATGTGCATATGTGTTCATGCAAATGTGGGGGCCAGAGGTTGACGTCTGATGTCTTCCTCAGTTACTCTCCACTTAGTTTTGGAGCTAGGGTCTCTCCCTGAGCCTGGAGTTTGCTGGGCTGGCTAGGCTGCCTGGCTGGCAAGCTCTAGGAGTCATCCTGTCTCTAAGTCCCAGCACTGGGATTACAGGAGTGCTCTACTAAACACGGCTTTTTGGTGAGTACTGGGAATTCTAACTGGGATCCTTGTGCTTGCACGACGTGCACTGTACTGACTACCGTATCACCAGCGCTTATATTTAGTGTTTTATTAAACATTTTAGTGTGCAAAGCAATAGGATTCATTAGGATGTTTTCATACATTTATATTGTGTACTTTTCCTTCATCCATCCCACTACCCTCTGCTGCCCTTGCTCCATCTGCTGCTATGGTTTTTTCTTTCTTTCTTTCTTTTTTTGTTTTTTGTTTTTCAAGACAGGGTTTCTCTGTGTAGCACTGGCTGTCCTGGAACTCACTTTGTAGACCACGCTGGCCTTGAACTCAGAAATCCGTCTGCCTCTGCCACCCAAGTGCCGGGATTAAAAGCGTGCGCCACCACCGCCCGGCTTGAAAAAATTTCTTCCTTCCTTCCTTCCTTCCTTCCTTCCTTCCTTCCTTCCTTCCTTCCTTCCTTCCTTCCTCCTTCCTCCCTCCCTCCCTCCCTCCCTCCCTCCCT